GTGGTGCTGGGGATCGAACCGCGGTCCCTGTGCTTTGCCAAGCTTGTTTCAAGTAGGTGCTTTAGACCACTGAGCCATCTCTCCAGCCCCGGTTTGAATTCTTAAGTGTCTCTCTATGCCTCCTAGAACTTAAAATATCAGGAGATCCTCTCCCTGTCACAGAAGTGGTGACTGCTAAGGGGCCACATAAAAACACAGCCACCTCCCTTTGTTCTCCTCTAACTGCTACAGCCTATGCCACTAGCCTAGAAGTAGACAAGATCCTGGTTGTCCCTGTCATCCTTGTGGTCTGGAATAGCCATCTGTGGGCAGAGGGTATGTGTCAGGGTCTAGAGGTGTGAGCTCTGTTGACTTCACCCTTAAATATCATTTGCTAGCTACAGAGAAAGTTCACTAACTTGGGGCCGGTTCTCCAGAGCTCATTGCTGAGGAATTTTGCCAGCCAGTTGGTAAACTGTCACTAGCTTGAAACTGGCCATAATGGGGTTACTTATAAGGCAGCATCACCAACTGTTACGAGGGGAGGAATCCCCTACTTCCCTGGGCCGGTTTACCAGCATAACCTTGACCTTGTTTTCGCTGGTCGCCCAGGTGGACAGGGCACATTCCTTTCCGTATAGTAAGTGCTCGCTAAATAAACAATGGTTGTTTGTTGGGTTTGAAACAGGGTCTCTATGGCCCAGGCTAGCCAGACTCCATAGGTAGCCCAGGCTGGCCTTGAGCTTGAGATCCTTCTGCCTCAACCTTCTCAGTAGCTGGGATTATAGCTGTGCACCATGATACCTGGCTTAAATACCTATTAAGAATAATTGAAGGAGGACAGGGTGATTTTTGCCTGAAGAGGCAGGAGAATCCCTTGAGCCTAGGAGTTTCAGACCAGCCTGAACAATATAGCAAGACCCTGTCTCTAGTCCTTTTTCCTTCCTTCCTTCTTTCTATTTCTTCCTGCCTCCCTCTCTTCTTCCCTCACTCCTTCCTCCCCCTATTTTCTCTCTTTGTTTCTCTTTCACGTGTGGCCCTGGGAATTAAACCCAAGGCCTCTCACATGCTAGGCAAGTGTCATACTTCTGAGTTACATCCGAGCCAATGAATAAATACTTTTTTTTTTTTTTTTAAGTAGTGGAATTGAACCCACAGCCTTCACATTGAGCTACCTCATTGAGTTCTTTTTAAATTTTGAGACAGGGTTGCACTAAGCCCCTAATTTTCCTAGGTTGGGCTTGACTTTATGATCCTCCTCCTCAGAGTCCTGGAATTACAGGCATTTGCCACCAGTCCTGTTCATATTATTTTATTTATTTATTTATTTTGGTGCTGAGAACCTTCCAAGGACTTTTGACAGTCTCTAATTGAATGGGCCAAACAGCCTGGGGACATGCGAGCTTTATGGTTCCCATTTCCCAGAAGAGAAAACTGAAGCTCAGCGAGGCCGAGTGCAGGAACTTGCTGGAGGTTCCTCCGATTCCAGAGCCCAGACTTCCCAGTGGACAGCTGACCCCAGTCTCCAGGACAAGCCTAGCCTGTGCCCAGGCCAGCCAAATGGTCCCCTCTGGGCATTGCCGGGAATGTCACTGTTGTCTCCGCCACTGTCACCTTGCCTCTGTCTGAGTTCACTATTTCTTACCATTCTCCCGTTCACAGCGTCTCATCATCTGCATTAGGGCCTTTTTGTCTGCAAGCCCTGGGAACCTCTGCCTCCTCTCGTCCTGGAAATCCTTTTTGGTTTTCAACCTCTCCCCCAAGAGCTCTGGCGGATGAATAACCCGCCCTCCTCTAGCTGTGCAGCACCCTGTGCTTGCGCAAGATCCCGCCTTCGAGTCAGACAGAGCCAGGCTTGCCTACTGGCTCTGTCCCATCTATGACTGGCTCCCTGTCCATAATCAGGTCAGTGGGTGAGCTCGGGATGGAAGCGCCCCAAGGGCAGGACACAGGGCTTCTCTGGCTGCTCCAGCCCTAGGGAGTGTTTCCCACCGGCGGGTGAGCATGGCATAGATGTGGATGGTGCCGAGTCATGTTCTGGGGTTTCCCAATTCTGCGGCGTGCAACCCAGAACCCAGCATTCTTGCCTCTGGGAGCACTTCCTCTTCTCGCGGTACACTGGGGCTGCCTGTATTTTTTAACAGCACCTCTTGCTTGCAGGGTGCAAAGAATGATCAGTGTGTCCTGGGGCTCGAGATCAAAAAATAGTACTCTGCCATTCATCTTGGAGGTGTTCTGCTCCTAAAGCCAAAGTGAACCTGTCACCCCCAAACTTGCAAAACAATCACTGGCTTTATTTTATTTGTGTTTTTAAACATTTATTTTAGTGCCAGCTCCGCCCCTGGGGCGCTGAGACTGCCACTGAGATTTGGCGTGGTGGCACGCACCTGAAATCCCAGCGCTTGGGAGGCCAAAGACAGGAGGATCACTAGGATTCCGATCTGTGTAGTGAGACCCTGTAGTCCCCATACTAAAATACATAAAATAAATAAATAAAATGTATTTTAATCTTTTATTTTTTTATTTGGTACAGAGTCTCGCTACGCAGCTCGGACGCCTAGTGATCCTCCTGTCTCAGCCTTCCCAGCGCTGAGATTACAAGCATGCGTCACCATACCCGGTTTTGGTGGCCTGCACGGGGCACGCTGGCACGGTGTGTAGTACTGGGGATCGAACCTGGGCCTTTGCTCCTGCCACCCAGGCGCTTAGACGGCCAAGCTATCTCCTCAGTCCACTGGCTTTATTTTAAACAAATTTCTCTTCCAGAAGGTCTGTTTGTCTCTCTTCCTCTTTGTTTTTTCACTGTACCCTGATTTCTTACGATGTAGAAATTGTCAGAGATCTCATGCTTTGCTCTCATAAACTTCACACCTCTTTAACATTCTCTGCCGAGTCCTAAGCGATTTAAATTCCGTCTGTGGGCCTGGCGATGCGGCACTGTGGAAGGCCCTAAATTTCATCTCCAGGATTACAAAAAAATAAGTGAATGAATAAAATAACAAAAATTTAGCCAGGCATGGTAGTGCCCACCTGTAATCCCAGCCCTTGGGAGACAGGAGGATCCCTGTGAATTCGAGGCCAGTGGGTTTTGCCGAGAATTCAAAGCCAACCTGTACTACATAGCAAGTCCCTGTTTCAAAAAACCAAAATCAATAATTAAACTCTCTCTGTGACTGGGATTTAAAGAAGAGTGAATCAGAACAGATCCATCTTCGCTGTCCCCCAGCTGGGTCACCTGTGAGAAAAGCAGTCAGGCTTTGCTAAGAGCTTCCACACCCTGTGCTTATCCGCTTCTGAGTGTGGAGAGGTTCTGCTGTATCGCCACCTTGGAATTCGGGAAGCCACGTGACTTTTATTTATTTATTATGTATTTGATACAAGGTCTCACTATGCCGCTCAGACTCATGGTGATCCTCCTGTTTTCAGCCTCTCCAGCACTGCAGTTACTGGTGTGCACCACCACGCCGGGACCGGTAGCCCACTCAGCGCACCCAGGGGCAGGGCCAGTGCAGCATGTGGTGCTGGGGATCGAACCTGGTCCCTGAGCTTGCCTAAGCAGGCACTTAGCCTGCTGATCTATCTCACCAGCCCCACATGACCCTCCAGCAGAGGCATTTACTTCCAGGCTACCACACTGTGTTGCGGATACTCAGCTGCGTGACCCTCTCAAATACTGCCAAGAGCTGGATTGATATATTTTCGGCTTTGTGGTCTGTAGAGCAACAACTCAGCTCCACTCTAGCACAAAGGATGTTCAAGGCAACATGCAAATGAGTCCACATATCTGTTTCAGTAAGTTTTATTTACAAAAAGTGAACTTGACAGCTATAGTTTCCAACTTGGACCTGCTAGACAGTGGAAGATTCCTATTACAGATGGGCAGACTGCAGGGTTATTTTCCCCTCAGTACTGTACTAGAGATTGACCACAGGGCCTTTACACTGAGGCACATCCCCAGCCCTTTTTATTTTTATTTTTTTGTGGAACCAGGGATTGAACTCAGGCCCTTGCACTTGCCAGGGAAGCACTTATTCCTCTGAGCCATCTCCCTGGCCCCCCTTTTTATTTTTAATTTTTGAAATAGGATCTCACTAAGTTGCCCAGGCTGGGCTGGAACTTACAATTCTCCTTCCTCAGTGTCCCAGAGTGCTAGAGTTACAGGCCTACACCACCTCATCCAATTTAAACTGTCAGATCACATGAGGGTTGGCCAAGATAGCTCAGCTGATTAAAGTGCCTGCTTAGACAGATGCAGGGACTAGGGTTTGATCCCCTGCATGCCGTGTCAGCCCTGCCCCTGGGGCATGCTGAGATGGTGATTGAGACCGGGAGTGCCTGTAATCCCAGCGTTTGGGAGGCTAAAACAGAAGGATCACTACAATTCCAATCTGTGTAGTGAGACCCTGTAGACCCTGTACTAAATACATTAAATAAATCAGTAAATAATCACATGAATGCAACCTAGCTTTGCCTGACCGGGTGATTTTGACAATACGTGCCACTTTCATGGAGAGAAAAAATGGTACCCTCATCCTTTCCTAAACAGGTCCCTCCCAAGACTTGCCTGTCAGTGCTTAGTGAGGCTCATCCTGTTGTCTCCCGACACACACACACACACACACACACACACACACACACACAGTGGGCTTGGTACAACCTGCTTGGTTTGCATTATTCCCTCTTCCAAAAATTCCTTTTCATCTCCCTTCAGTGTATCTGCGTCCTTCTCAGCTTCTGTTTCCCGTGTTCTAGGAAGACTTTTCCCGCTATTTCCTTAAAGCCTGTGATTGCCAGCCTGAATGAGTGCTGGCAGGGTAAGGAAAAGGAGAAAAGTCGGCCTTTGCAGGGAGCGATCCACATTACTCAAGAGATACCACTGAGCTCAACCAGCACAGTTAAGTGTGGAGATGGACTGTCACACATTGCAAGAGACCCATAGGCTTAAGTAACAGAAAAGTACAGAAAGGTGGGTATGACTTTGAGGAATAGGGAAAGGAAGTATACATTTGGTAAGACTCTCTAAAGTTCCTTCAGAGGTCCTGGTCTCAGACTTCTTAAGACCTGTATTGGGGACCTGGGTGAGTATTAGTCTTTGGGTGAACATATAGGAGGGGTGATTAAAAAGCACAGTGAGTGTTTAAGTTGTTTAAAAAATTCATATTGCCCTCTGCACACCTCAAAACACTGTCCTTTGATTTGAACACATTCCTGTCATCTTGTCACTTTCAGAAGCAGCTCCAGAAGTCTTCCTTTATGAGTGCCTTTATGAGATGTGATTAAAAAAAATATGATGAATGTCGTGCTGAGTGCTGAGGCAGGCTTATAAGAACATGACAGTGTCTCTTCACCCACCTCATTCACCGGATCTTGTACTGCACAACTTCTGGCTCTTCCCCAAAGTCAAAAATGACCATGAAATGTCAACATTTTGAATGTATTCAGGATGTCCCGCAGCCACAGCAGTGCAACAAAAGACATGAATGAAAATGTCCAGAACTGCTTCTGAGAGTGGCAAGAACGTGGAACAAGTATGTTGGAAGCAAGAGGGACTCTTGAGGGAGATGAATGGCATTGGGTCTTCTATTGTAATAAATTTTAGGGGCCAGGGATGTAGCTTAGTGGCATAAGGGCCTGCCTGGCAAGTGCAAGGTCCTGAGTTCAATTCCTGGTACCAAAAAAAAGGAAAAAAAAAAAAAAAAAAGGACAAGGTAATAAATTTTAAAATTTAAACACACACCCTAGTTTTCAATCACACCCTTTAAATTATACAAACACTGCTGGTGTGTGACATATTTTTCAAATATGGGAAAGGCAATCAGGTAGGAAGGCTGCCACAATGACTGGTCTTTTGTGGTTTGGACACAAAGGCCGACCTAGAATACCCCTGCTCCAGGTCTACTGATTCATGTCCCACCCAGAGAAAGTGGCTACGAGTCCTGAGTCCCAAGCAGACTTTCAGTGAAAGAGTAGCCTCCTTAGGAGGCTATTGCTTGGACCTGCCTTTATCTTCCCCTCCTGTGTCTAGCCAAGTGTCCCTTTAAGAGAATGGCCAAGACTCACCTTCCACAGGACACACCTAGCAACCACAGGTGGGGCCACTTTATCACAGGCTGGCAGGTACAGGACACAGTGTACGGACCAGAGTGCTGCTTTTGGGAAATGCATAAAGCATGCTGGGAGTGGCATGGCCTTTGTCCCTTGTGAAACATGTGACATTTTGTGCAAAATGTAATCTGGTATAAACCAGCATGAGCTCACCACGGAGGGACTGGCTTTGATGTCCCTGCTGTAACAACATCAACACGCTTTAGTATCTTGCCGGTACCATCCTGGGAGGACCCAGAGGACTCCAGATGGGCAGGGAGTTGAAGGTGGACTGGGATCTGCAAGTGGCTCCTCTGGATACAGATGTGGGCTCCAGTCTCAACTGCACCCTCACAACTTTGGTGAATCCCTTAATCACTGTGCTTCCTCCTCTTCACGCCTGCTGAGGGCATGCATCATTCGACCGCATGGGGTAGCTGGGTTAATGAGAGATTAAGGACAGAGCAGCAAAAACTAGGCTGTGTCAAAGAAACAAAAGATAGCAATAGCACTGGAAGTCCACAAAAAGAGAACAGCCAAGCATATTGTAATTCCAGCTATTTGGGAGGCTGAGGCAGGAGGATCAAAAGTTCCAGGCCAGGCTGGGCAGCTAGCAAGACTCTATCTCAAAATAATAAAATAAATAAGTAAAAAGAACGTGGATATATAGTTTAGTAGTAGAGCACCCCTGGGTTTGATTTTGAAAAAAGAAGAACTGGGGCATGGTAGTGCACCTATGGTGGAGGCCGAGGCAGGAGGATTATCATGAGTTTGAGACCAGTCTGGGCGACTTCGTGATTTAGTTAGACCCTGTCTCAAAAAAATAAAAAGTAGGAATCAAATGCATTGCAGAGAAGGCGCTTGGCCATTGCAGTTCTTCAGCTGTCCCCTATTATTACTCAAGACAGCCGGCACCCCCTGAAATCAGGGCTTACTCGATTCATGCTTTCCCAGTGGAAGTCTCAGAGTCCCTGACAACTCTTATTTGAAAGACTCCCCACGGATATGACAATTGTTTTGCGAAGGCAGGTGACATGAGGTATAACTGCTGCTTCACTCCCACACGCGGTACACTCTGACCTTTGGGAAACTGCTCCTAGTCCCTGACCCTCAGCTGCCTGCCCTGTGAATTGGGGTGCTTGCTGGTTGGGAGGATGGACGCAAGTTAGCAGACAGGAAACCCTCCCGAGGTGCCTGGGACACAGGAAGTGCTTGGTAGCAGCAGCTGCGTGTTAGGGTCCAGGGACTGTGCCTGCTTCCCATTGGCCCCGTGACTTTCGTTCCCAGTTCCCTTGTTATCTGGGTGCCGGGAACTACTGGCTAAGATTGTTTCTCATCTCAGTTGCTGTATCATTGCTGGTTCCGTAGCCACGACCACTGATGTGAAGAGGATTTTGTTCTTTCCAAGGCTGCTACTGTGTCTTATTTGTTATTAATAGACATGTTTTTATTGCTGTTTTACCTGCTGCGCATTGTCCTCTCAGATTAAAATAATAACACCTTCAGTTAATAATACCTTGTACTCAGAGAGCTGCTTTCATCCTGGCAGCTCAAAGCTCCCTGCAAACATGACCTCATTCGTTTTCCCTGCTTGCTGGGTGGGGGGTAGGGAGGGGACGACGGACTCCTGCGTAGGCCCTTGAACTCATTCATCTTCAGTCCGATTCTCAGGAGCCGGATTATTGATTAGGCGTGTCCACCTCTCAGGACGCGGATCGCAGGCGGAGCGCTGAAGCCCTCCCATCCTCTTCCTGGGCTGACTGCATGCTTTATGCACACAGAAGATAATCAGAACCCTGGGCCCGCTAGCTTAGAGGCACGAGTGCTGGGCTGGGCCAGGCACCTACAACTGTGTCCTGCAAATGGTAAACTTTAAATAAAACCTGAGGATAAGTCACCTCATTGCCCAGGAAATAACAGGTTTGGCAACTGGGGGCCCCTGCCTTCCTTGAGCACTCAGTGAAGACCAGGGGCTGTGGGGTATATTCCTCAACAGCCAGAACTGGCTCTACCTAATTAGGCCCTACTACTCAAGGCCTGGGCGCGTGTGAAAACCTGTCACCCCTTGTTGGCGGTACTTCCTTGTTCTGGGGCTGCTTGGAGCTGGAGCTACCTGGTGCTGTAAGCTACTGGCTGGTTGCTTTACTTTTCACCTTGCAATCAAGTGCTGGAACCCCACGGTTGGCCCTCTGACCTGGAGTTTTGCATCCTCCCTGGATTCAATCAACCTTGGATCGAAAAAATTCAGGAAAGAAATGTGTCTGCACTGAGCAGACTTTTTCAGTTGTCATTACTTCCTGAACAATACAATATAACTACTGTTTACACAGCATTTATAGTGTTGTATTAAAAATAGCCTACAGTTGATTTAAAGTATATGGGAGAATGTGGGTAGGTTCTATGCAAATACTGCACCATGTTATGTAAGCGCTTTGAATGCTCACAGAGTTTGGCATCTTTGTGGGGTCATGGAACAAATTTCCTGTGGACACTGGGGAGCAACTATGATACAACCTTCAGCCACACTCATGAGCTCAGTCCACGAACACTTCGGGGTGTCAGAGGGGCAGCTCCAGGACTCTGACCCCTTCAAAGTAAACCGGAAGGCAAACTAAATGCATTAGCTCACTTCAGGGCCCAAGGCCGTTTCTCCCCTCCCCGCCCCTCTCCTCTCTCCTTTCAGTGCTGATATCTGAACCCAGGGTTTCCCACTGAGCTACATCCCCAGCCCTTTTTCTTTTTTGTTCTTTTTTTCTTTGAGACAAGATCTCACCAAATCGCTAAATTGCCCAGGCTGGGATCCAACTTGGCTCCCCCTGCTTCAGCCTCCCAGATTACTGGGGTTACAGGAATGTGCCAGTGTGCCCGGTTGGCCGAGGGCAAGTGCTCTGCCACTGAGCTAAACTCCTAGCTGTGTTTTCTGTCAGTATGTAAGCTTTGGTTGTGCCAGATGTAGTGGAACATGGCCAGGGACTTGTTCCTGGACTCCTCACTCTGCCATGCCAAAGTTCTCCAACGCTCAAGCCTCTAATATAAAATGGTGCATGCTTTTCATGTTCTTCTTTCGTTGTTGGTGGTGGGATTTTGAGACAGGGTTTCACTAGGTAGAGGAGGCTAGCCTTGAACTCATATATGTAGCACAAGCTAGCCTCAAACTCATTGATCCTCCTGCCTCAGTCTCCTGACTGCTGGGATTACAGGCACCCTTGGGATGCCCATGTACTTTAGTTTCTAGACTACTTATAGTACCTAATACAGGGCCAGAGATATAGCTTAGCATCACAGTGCCTGCCTGACAGGTGCAAGGCCCTGAGTTCAATTCCTAATTAAAAAAAATACCTACAACAATGTAAATAGCATACATACTATATAATTTAGGGAATAACACTTAAAAAAAAAAAAAAAAGTCTGGTCAGGCTTGGTGACCCAGGCCTGTCACCACAGCACTTAGGAGGCTGAGGCAAGAATATTCAAGGCCAGCTTGTTCTACACAGTGAGCTCAAGGTCAGTCTGAACTGCATAGTAAGGCCTTGCCTCAAAAAAGGAACAAAAGTCTGCCTGCTCAGAACAGGTACAAAGCTTTTTTGTTTCGTTTGTGCTGAGATCAAATGCAGGGTCTTACCCATAACATACTCCATTAGCTACCCCTAGGCTACAGTTTTTATTATTATTTTTTTAATTTTATTTATTTATTTATTTGTGTGTGTGTGTGTGTGTGTGTGTGGCCAGCTCAGCCCACCAGGGGGCGGGGCTGGCTGGCATGTGGTGCTGGGGGATTGAACCGCAGTCCCTGTGCTTTGCTAAGCTTGTTCTAAGTAGGTGCTTTAGACCACTGAGTCATGTCACCAGCCCCTAGGCTACAGTTTTTAGAAAAGAAATGTTTATAAGACCTGTAGTTGGGGGAAAAAAAAAAAAAAAAAAACTAGTTGAATGCACGAGACACAAAGATCAAACTGTATTTACCTTCCTAACTCTACTTCCCTAAATTTATTTAAATTTCTGTCCTTGCTCTACCTTAATCCTCCTAAAGGCCAAACACAACCTTGAAGGCCAGAACCTACTCTAAGAGGTGAAAACTGACACATATATGTAAATTAGGGTTTTGAAAATCTAGAACTACCTGGCAAGGTGGCCTGTGCCTAGACTATTGGGTATTCCAGATGTTGAGGGAGTAGGATTGCTGGGACCAGGAGTGCAAGACTGGCCTGAGTAATACAGCAAGACCTCAACTCTAAAATTAAGTAAGTAAATAAATAAAGGGCTAGGGTTGAAAAAGTACCTGTGTAGAAACAATCTTTTTTTTTTTTTTTAAGACAGAATCTCCTTATGTAGGCTGGCCTTGAACTGCTAGCAATTCTTCTGCCTAAACTTCGTGAGTGCTGGTATTGCAGCCCTGTATCACCACCACTCCCAGCCCACACTATTTTTAAAAAGATGGTATAACTTGAAGCTTCGCTTAGGCCAATCAATTTAAAAGAAAAATAAATTCATCTTAGAAATTAGTCACTTAAGAAAGTGACTTTTGTCCTTGCCATTGTACTTATGGTACATTAATACTGGTTTGCATTCTCACACAGCAAGAGCTTCCTCTGTCCTTGGGGTGGGTGCTTAGTGATTAAAAGGGAACAGGAAGGGGATGGGAAATGTTCTGTTTTTTTTGTTTCTGCGGTACTGGGGAGTGAACACAGGGCCTTCACATAGAGCTACATCTTCAGCCCTTTTTAAATTTGTAATTTTTGAGACTGGAAATTCAGTCTTTCTCTACTTATAAGGTCTTGCTAAATCTCTAAATTTCTCAGGCTGAGCACAAACTTGGGATCCTCCTGCCACAGCCTCCTGGAGTGCTGGCATTACCAGTGTACACCATGGAAGAACGCTGCTCATTTTTTGGAAGTCTTTCAAGCTGTAGCGGAAGAGACGCCGCTCACTTATCGGTCCGTGATACTGTTTTTACCACTTTTTTTTTTTTTTTTTTTTTGCGGTGGTGATTGAACCCAGGCCCTCCTGCTGTGTACTATAGCTCACTAATTAAAAACAAAACAAAACAAAAAAAAACACTGCTTGAAAGTTATTTTTAAAATTAAATACTTTTAGACTCAAGCAGCTGCAAAGGTTCTGTGTTTTCTATTTTGATCATTCTGTTTCTCAAGATGACCACATCTTTCAGAGGAAATGAGTCAAAGCCACTCTGTCTTGCTTTTCCAGCTGAGCATGTTCAGTTTCAATGAAGTAATGAATGAATTTCTCCGCACCACCCCCCAGGCCTACAACAGCAAACAGAGAGGCCTCGACCAATCAGGAGGCAGTCCCGGTTTTCAAGTTGAGTTCAAACAGAGACACAGAAGGCCAATCAGCGCACGTGGCCCCACCCCCAACTCTCGGCTTCAGCCAATCATGAGCCTTAACAAGCCAAAACACAGCTGCCAGCCAATGTGAGAGCGCCCCACTGAGTTGAGCTCCGCCAATGGGCGCGGCCCGGTGAAAAGAGAAACAGTGCGGCCCCGGGGCCGGCCGCAGGATTCGAATCGAACGTCGGTGCAGGAACCGGGCTGTAGCGGAGCTGCGCGAGGGCCAATCAGCAGCGGCGGCACACGGCCCCGGAACGTTGGGACACCCCGGCCCCGCCCCGCGCTGTTGTTTGTGGTGTCGGCTGGCGGGGCGGCGGGATCAGAACCACAACATTCGCCGGGCGGCGGAGGCCGAGCCCCGGATCCCCGCGGCCGGCGCTGCGGGGGCCTCGCGTTGCGCCATGTCGGTGAACACGGATGAACTGCGGCACCAGGTTATGATCAACCAGTTCGTGTTGGCCGCGGGCTGCGCGGCCGACCAGGCGAAGCAGCTGCTGCAGGCGGCGCACTGGCAGTTCGAGGTGCGCGTGGGCCTGAGATCTGGGGAACCTGGGGGGCCTGGGTGGGGACCTCTACCTGTGTCGGCCCGGGTCGCGGAGTCCGGTGCGGGGCTTCTTGTACCTTTAGCCCGGCGCTGACGCCGCTCCGCCCGCGTTTGTCCGCAGACCGCCCTGAGCACGTTTTTCCAAGAAACCAACATTCCCAACAGTCACCACCACCACCAGATGGTAAGTGTCGCCAGGAGGGCGAGGACGGGACCTCAAGCCCCTTGCTTCGCGCCCCTCTACGGGCATCGGGGAGCGGGCCTTCCCCCTCACCCCCCGGCAGCCAGACCTCCGGAGCCTGGCCCACCGATAGACCATGGGGTGGGGGACGACAAGAGCCGGGCCGGGCCGCTGTCACCCCCGGCGGTGACAGCCATGTTGCCGGGGAGCGCCGCGCCGCGAATGTAAACAAAGAGCCAAAATGTCTTCCAGGAAAGAGCGCTCCTGGGCCGGCGCCGGCTCGTCCAACTTCGGGACCCGCCTCTCGGTGGCTGGGTCTGGGTCGGTGGCCTCGGCCTCCCCCCTTTCTGCTTCTCTCTTGGGGGTGGAGGAGGGGCCCAGGAGTTGGGGGTCGGGGTTTGGGTGGGAGAGATGGCTGCAGGACAAACGGGACGAGAAGGGAGCTCGGAGGGTAACCAGACCTCGGGGGAGCCCAAACGAAGACCCCAAGGAAGGGGACTGAGACTTGGGGCATCCGTGTTGGTGGGGAGCCCCTCTGTTGCAGTTAGCTGTCCTAGTGCGGCCCCTCCCCCTCCACACACGCACCCTGCACTGCAGGAAGCAGGGAAAGGATAAATCCACCCTGGCTCAGGAAGCTGGCTGTACTCACAAAAGTATGCGGGCCCTTTTAAAGCCCAGAGGACCAGACCCTGTACCGGGAGGACGTAGAGATTTTGACCCAAGATAAGGCCAAGAATTTGCATTTAATCTCTGTTAAGAGATGCACAGTCCTGGGAACTGAAGTGGCTCAGGGCTGGATTTGTTCTCTTCTCTTTCCACCCAGGCTCCAGGCTGAAGCCTTTGCCCTCCTGGCCAGGGGGTTACCCTTGGCTTTCTTGAGGCCCAAGACAAGACTTCTCCACCCCAAGCCCTAGTTACCTATTAGCCCCAGTGGGATGGGAGGGGCTGAGCTCTGTAGGGATTATAAAACATCATTCCTAAGGGGGTTGCTCTGGCTTCCAGAGTGCATTTTTGGCATTTTTAACGCCTGGGTGTCTCTGCTGTGGCCCCACGTGGCTCTTCTGCTGTCTTGTCCTGGGCTCCCTGGTCCCACCTACTCACAGAGGGCAGGTAGAAATAGGTTTGCCTTGACTTTTTAGACTACCCTTTCTTTTAGGATGGCTCCTGTACCCGTATGAATCCAGTGAGAATGTCCTTTAGCTTATAAAAGAATAATGGTGCTGGCAGCAGGGTGGAGGTAGTTGAGGCCTCTTAGCAAGCCCAGGAAGGGTTCGCCTCCAAGGGACACCACTTCAGCATCCAACCATGGGATTTTGTGGCTCCCAGAGTGTGGGAGCCCAGTGCCCTTATCCCAGTGTGGAGGTATCTCCCTGCTGGCTGCCAGCACAGCCACACTGAGGGGCCAGGAACAGGGACTTACAGGAAGAGCCAGGACTGGCGTTCTGTTTGGTTCTTCTTTCCCAGTCTACAAATCCCATTGGGGGGATTGAAATCCCCCTTGAAAGTTTCCCTCAGGGTCGGAGGCAGGTTTTATAACAGACATTACAATCAGCTAACTACTATTGACTGGGTGCTTCATTAAGAGTGGTGTCCCTGCTCCTAGAGTTGGCAGTTTTCTTGGGACAAAATAAAGAAAAAAAATTAAATAAAAAACCACTGGAGTTGAGTCACCACAAAATGGCAGTGTCAGAAGTAACTGATAAATGGTTGTCCTGTAGACTGCTTTTGATTCTCTGCGGTTGAAGGAGGCGTCCCAGGTGATTAGGAAGGGTCCCGAGTGGGATCTGCAGGGGCCGAGAGAGGGGCAGTGCAGGGGTTGCAGCACAAGGAGGGTGCTGTGGAGAATCTGGTCCAAAGCCCTGGTTTTACCGAAGCAGAGAAGAGTTCCAGAGAGGTTCGAGAGCTTGCCCAGGCTTACCCAGGCAGGCGGGCACAGGCCCTGTCAGCCAGCAGGCTGGAGGCTGTTGGAGGAGGAGGAGGAGGCCACGCTGGCTTGGTGAACTGGGGAAGTCAGTCACGATGCTGTGAAGCAACTGGCCGTCACCCCCCCCCCCCCCCATTCATTGTTTCCTGCTGCTCAGAAGTCAGCCCTGTCAGGGGGCAGGCAGTGAGAGGAGGAGGGAAATGTCTGGGTGGGGCCAGGCCTCTTGAGTCCTTTGGCCTCCTCTGCGGGCCCCTGGGAAGACAATGGTCAGAGATCCCTAGGAATTGATGTGGCCTGGGCCTCAGTGATCCAAGTGAGGTGGGGGTCTCCTTCTCCAGAGAGCTCTCCTTCAAGGTCAAGTCCTAGTCTTGCCCACCCCAGCCCTTTGCCTGGGGGAGGGGCCCAAGTTGCTAAAATTAGGAGAAATTCAAAGAAGGGCTGCCATGGCTTCCTGGGAGAGGAAGCAGCAGCTTTGTGGTGGGAACTAGCTTGTGTGGATCTTGTTCTCTGGGCTGCCTGTACCCTGCCCCTCGTGTGGGGCCCCCTTGGGCCGAGGGAGAAGAGGCTGTGGTTGGTTGGTTTGGGCTGAGAGCTGTTTGCCTGTGGGGACAAGGGCAGGCCGAAGCCTGGGCTAGAGGCTCCAGACAGGGAGCAGAAATCCTGGATGCCAGGTCCGGAGCTGCCCTCGACTCAGTGCATGCAGAGTGGGGCCTGGAAATAGGTTAAGAGCTTGGGCCTGTAGACATAAGCGCCTGGGAATTCAGGCTTCTCTGCTTTTATTCTGCTCTTGGTGCGGTTTTCAGTCATGACAGCCTGTGAGCCTCAGTTTCCTCATCTGTAATATGGAAGGAGTACTATCGGCCTCCTTTGGAAAAGGTGGTGGAGGCAAGAGCTTGAGGCCTGGTGGCTGTGATGACCGAAACGCCAAGGAAGAGCAGCTTTTCCTTGGCTGTGCGGGACGGAACACCCTCTGAACACTGTCTGGCCCACACCCTGGTGACATCAGGACAGATGACCCAGCTAGGTTCCTCAGTCGGGGGCGGGGGGGGGCACTGGTAGTGGTGTCCTGGGCTACTTTTTTTGTCTTTTCATGTTAGTGTGATGCCTTGGCTTTAAGTTGGAACTAACCATTCTGATGCTCCTTGGCATCATTTCCTAGCATTTTGTCATACTTTTTTGGCTTTAGTGGAGTTTAACCTGATTTTTTGTTTTTAAATTGTGAATGTGAGGGATGGGTCTGTCCTAGTGAAGCCTCTGTGGGTTGAAAAATTAATAGTGAGGCCCCAGCGCCCTGGCAGGCAGCCTCCCCATGCCTGTGTTCTCTCCCTGCAGATGTGTACGCCCAGCAACACACCTGCCACACCGCCCAACTTCCCTGACGCGCTGGCCATGTTCTCCAAGCTTCGCACTTCCGAGGGTCTACAGAGCAACAACAGCCCCATGTCGGCCACGGCCTGCTCCCCCCCTGCAAACTTCAGCCCCTTCTGGGCCTCCTCCCCACCCAGCCACCAGGCGCCCTGGATGCCGCCCTCCTCCCCTACCTCCTTCCATCGCCTCCACTGCCCACAGCCCACGTGGCCCCCCGGAGCACAGCAGGGAGGCACCCAGCAGAAAGCCATGGCGGCTGTGGATGGCCAGAGATGAGACTGGATGCTGCTGGGCCCTGGGCTGGAGCAAGGGGGGCAGTCCAGGGTTGTGGGGACACAGGAGGGCCAGGGAGGGGGGAGCAGGGGAGGGCGAGGGGTTTCCTGAAGATCGCACTGGAAGATTTTATAAAAAGAATTTTTGTGGGTGGGTGGGGGCAGTAAACTTCGTGGGCCACTTGGGTCCCTCGGGAGTTATTCTTTGGGCAAGTTTTTTTCTCTTTTAATATATAACTATAATATATACGGATATATAAATATAATTAATGTATGTGAGAGTGGGGCTGCATACTTGGGGTGCTGGGGGCAGAGGAGAAGGGCCCAAAGAATCCCTTGAAGTCACATCTGCAAACAGGACAGCCAGCCCCTTGTTCCTGCCTGGGGCTGCTGCTTAGGGCTGCAGGAAGGGTTCCACAAGACCCTTTATGGCATCATTGGGCTGTCCCAGCCCTGTCGCTGCTGTGCCCAGAATTCTTCTCTACTCCTCTTTGCTGCCCTTCATTGCTGTTTTTGTCCCCTGGTGGCTTTGTAGCTGCTATCGCCCCTGTCTCTAGCCGGGTGCGCATGGTTCATAGGACTGAAGAACTGCCTTGAGTGAGGTCAGACTTTGTCCAGTGGGGGACCCGAGTGTCCTGTCCCACAGGCACCCAGCCTCTCCCTTTGTGTCCAGGTTCAGAGGAAACAGACCCTGAAGAGTTTGCCCTTGGGTCACGTTCCTAAATCGGAATCTCATCTCGCCAGGGTGAAATTTTAATTTAAAAACTTAAAAAGAGACTTTTCTAACTTCCCTGGTTTGCAGTGCCTTTATTTACCTCGGTAGGGAAAGCTGAGTTTGGGAAAGCGTCAGGGTGGTCTGGATATGCTGTGGTTGGGGAAGAGGAGGAGACCCTATTGCCCCTTGGCTGAGCTGGATGTTTTTGGTGAGGGGTGGCTGCACCTCGGGGTGTGGTATACTAGGTGGGGCAAGGTGCAGCCCGACTTGGTTGCTATTACAATACCTCTTGCCTTGGTGACCCTCAGCCTTGCAAGTTGTCTCCTTTGGCCATGGGCCAGCTGCCGCTTCTGTCTGGTGACCTCCCACTGGCTGCAGCCCACAGGCCTCCAAGCATCTCCCAGCTTGCCCATCTCTACTGTTCTGACCCTCAGCTTTCCTCCGGCAGGTGTATTGCTGCCTTTGGTGTGGCTGTGACTCGAAGGTCAGCCACGGTGGCCGACTGGCCACATGGTGGGAGCTTCTGGGGCCCCTCGCTGCCTCCACTCAGGGCAGCCCTTTATGTTCCTGTCATCTTGCCTCCCACTTCTGGGGTCTGAGAGGGACCAAATGCTTTGGGGACACAGACATGGGCTAGAGGAGAGCCCCAAAGTGATGTGAAACTAAAGGAGCCCAGTGGGTGGTCACCCTAGCTTGTTTCTGAGCCTTCTCAACCATCTCACCCTTGCTGGGGCACCCCCTCTTGCCAGAAGAGCAGAACTGAGGCCTAACTGCCCTGTCTCCTGCATGTGACACAGAGCTGTACTTGGAAGCTGGGTTTGCCCTTTCGGTTTTGTTTCCTGGTTGGAAACCCCTGAGGCTCCTCCCAGCCTCGCCTCTGCTGCTGCACACCTGTGCTTTCCCAAGCTGGCAGGGGAAGCCCCTGGCAGCCCTGTGGGCAGTCAGGCTGGGATGTCCCTGAGGGCTGCTGGGACCTGGGCTGGGGTCCACCCAGGTACAGGAGAGTGGGGACAGCCTGGCATAGAACGGTGTGGCTGCTGGTTCTTTTGTGGGCGTGGGGCAAGGCCTGGGTGAGAGGTGCTGGCCTGCCCTCCCTGCCAAGCCAGTGAATTTGGTCTCTAGGCCAGGAAAACTGAGCCGACCTTCTGACATTTCACTGCCACAGTGGAGTCTGAGTGAGAGAAACAGGAGCTGAGGTGGCTGTGGTTGGCCTGGCTCTGCCTCCTGCTTGCAGAGAAAAGGGCAGTATGCTAGGGGTACCTGTTGGGGACTTGATATCCAAGTGGCTCCTCTAGTCCAGGCTGCATGCATGAGTACAGTCTATAGGTGCAGATTGGGGTGCTCCCTTAGGGGAAACACCCAGCTCTTCGCACCCCCTAGCCAGGCCAACTTTCACCCACACTAAACTAAGGGTGAGAAACCTATTTCTGGGCTGTTTCCTGCCACTCTTTCCTGTATGATTCTGTCACCTCTCTTCTCACACTCCCCAGTGAGACTCTTGTTCAAGACATCCCTTTCCCATGTGAAGGGGGGTGATGGGAACTGGGGGTGGGGGCAGCCCCTTCTTTCACTCTGGGTACCCTGTATCCTCTGAGACAGGAACATGTTGATGATTTTCAGGACTTCCTGGGCCCAGGTGGGGACAGCTCTCCTTGCTTGAGGTACTCCTAGAATATGGCCACGGGCATATCCTTGGGGGGCTTGTCCTTTGCAGTTTGTCACCCCATCTTAGGCTCAGTTCCACCTTATTCCTCTGTCCCTCAACTTGCTAGACCTGGAGCACAAAGGACTTTGGGCCAGCAGGGAGTTCTGCCCTCAGGTTTGGGGCTGGTGTGGAGGTGAGCAGGACTGGGGCTGGCCTTGCACAGAAATGAGTCCTACCCCTTGGAGCCCATTCCCTGTCTTCCTAGTCATTGGCAAAGTTGCCTGGGCTCTGAGCCCCTCTGCCAGGGTCCTGGGGGCTCCGGTGGCACGGCATGGCAAGAGGAATCCTTCCCAGTGGTTACAGGTTTTGACTTCTGACTGGTGGCACTGGAGTCTGAGACAGCACGCAGTGCTACCTTCATCGCCACGGTAACAGCAGGTCCAGGACCTCATGGGTCCCAGCCTATCCAGTGTCCTTGGCCAGCTCCCCAAAATCCAACATCCTTGGAGAATCACTTAATCTGTTGACCCTGTGGGACAGGAGATCTTTCAGACTTCAGACCTGCTCTGAGCACAGCTGGGAATCCCTGTATACCATCCTCTTCCAGGATCTTCCTGAGGCAGGACCAGAAAGGAATCTCAAGCCAGGTGTGGTGGCCCTTGCCTGTCATTCCAGTACTTTGGGAGATTGAGGCAGGAGGGTTAAGTTTGAAACCCAGCCTGGGCAACTTAGTGACTTAGCAAGACCTTGCTTCAAAATTTAAAATAACTGTTGTAATAATAAAGGGACAGCAGGCAGTGCTACCTTCATTGGTAGGTAGCTCAGTGCAAAGGTGTTTGGTTCAATCCTCAGTACTAAAAAGACTAAAAATAGAGCCAGAAAGCCCAACACTACCTCCTTCCCAGACTTTATTTATAGCTCTGTTCATTGAGCTGTGCTGGACCTTGGCCCCCTGGTCGGCTCCTCCAGCCCCTCCTCAGAAGGCAGAGCTGTGTTCATCTCCAGCCCCCGGGGCCCGCCCTGCAGGTCGAGGCTGGGTGGGTGGGCCATATCCGACGCCCTCTGAGGACACAGGTCTGTCTTTGTGTTGCTTTGAAGAAGCTGTGGGACAGGAAGTCCAGGTTACTCCTCTGCTCGGATGCCCTTAGGACCCGGAGCCCAGGGGCATGGGAGCGGCCCCTCAGCCAGGCTGATGGACTGGGGTGCACAAGTGTGTATACGAGTGCCCCAGCACCCAGGACTTTATCCTTGTGAGGGACAAATGAGTAAATGCACCTTCCCGGGAGCCAGGAGCCTGTGCTTTGGTGCTGCCTCTCCTGCCAATACATGGGGACTGTTTAGGCAGCACTGGTGCAAAGGCTTTCTAAGACTTCCAGCCTCCTCTCCCCTGCTTCTGTGTTTTATGTGCTCTTGGAGTAACGTTCTGCGGATAGCCCTGCCTACCCCCAGACACTGAAATCTCTCCAAGCCCATTCCCCTTGGTTACCAGCTTAGGCTCTGAGGCCACTTTGGCTTTGAATTGCAGCCAGCTCTGCCACTTCGTAGCTGTGTGACCTTGTGGGGGTACCTCAGCTTTTCTGCTTTGGTTTTCTCAGCTGTAACTAGGGATAACAATGGTCCTTATCTCTTGACGTGGAGAGGATTAAAGCAGGTTTATCCACGTGAAGTTCTTAACCAATGCCTGGCCAGTGAGAAGCCCTCAGTGAAGGCAAGGCATGATTGCTGCCTGACCACCTGCTGTGTCTTCCTCTCCCCTCCTCAGCTGCGGGCTCTCACTGGATGTGGGTACAAGGATGTCAGAGCACAGAGGGTCTGGGCGCTTAACCAGGGGGGGCCAGGGGACCTATCCCTTGTGTGAAGTGGATCAGCAGCAGTAGCCACTGCACAGACCTGACACTCAGTAGCTGGATTTTTTCCCTCTTACCTCTAGGCCCATGCTCTGGCTCCAAAGGCCTAAGTCATCATGGGCTCAAAAGAGGACCATGGGGCAAGAAGGGGAGGCCCGGTGCAGAGCCCAGGCTGCATAGAGGGCCACTCCACTGAAGGAAGCTACCTGAGGCACTTGCAGCCGATGTCTGAGCACTTTGAGGCCGAGAGGGCAGCTGGCTGGTGTTGCTGAGGGGCTGCTGCCTGTGCCCATGGGGCCGAGACTGCTTGGGCTTGTGTTTCATTATTTCTGAGGCAGGAAGGAGAACAGGGACAGTTATGAGACTCCAAGGAGCACTCCAAGGGGACCCACAGGGGTAGGCAGAGTGAGGCAGGGCTGCTGGCCTGAATTTGTAGGTGTGCCCGTCAGAGCCCTTAGTTCATGCCCTTAGTTCATTCCCACATCTACCCACTGTCCCCATCTGCCATCTTCCATCCACCTGCTTGCTCAGGTGTTCTCTAGGACTGCACAGCTGGAAGCTGGGTGCTGTGTGACCTCTGACCCCAGCTTTTCCAGCCCACGATGGGGGGCAGCAGTGAAGCTGCATGCGAGGCTGTGAGGTAGCAGCTGGCAGGCTTCAGGAATTTGTGGGGACCTGGGAGTAGGCATTTGGGGCGCAGGAGATCAAGGGCTGGGGCTCAGGAGGTGGCATTTTGCTGAGCTTTAAAGAAGGGATTGGTAGAGCATGGCTGAGCTGCTGCTGGGAGCCAAGGCCAAGGTGGGAACGCCTGGCAGCAGTGGCTTGTGGGTGAAGGCTGGCAGCCAAAGATGGGGCTGCCCCGGGCCAAGTGATTGGCTGAGGCAGCACAGCTATCTTGCCCTGAGAATGCTTAAGAACTGGGGGCTTCTGGAGATGTGTGAACACTTCAGGGCAGGGAACAGAAGGAAGGGCCAGAGGAAATGGGTGTCCCTTGGAACTCACAGGATTCTGCAGAGCCTCTGGGCTACCTGGATACTCACTCTCTTTGGTCAGGATGCCTGGAAGTCTTGTATCCATCCGTCCCTTGTAAATACGGCCATCCAGGCCCAGGATATCCACCTCGTCATGCTGTAGAGGGGGAACGCATGTCCATTACCACTGCAGCGTTCGGTGCCTCCCCTCTGGTCTTGCCTCCAGGAAGGCCCCGGGGTGCAGAGGACAGTGCTCAGAACCCTCCTCCCTGGCCACCCTGGGTTGCACCAACGTGAAAGGCATATGCAGTTTGGAGTGCTCGTGGTAGGAGGCTGTATGCCTTCTGGGCAGGTGGCTGGGACTTCATTCTTCTCAAGAAAGGGTAAGGGTCTGGGACTTGAAACTGGGGAAGGCTGAGAAACTGCATAAGGCAGAGGGCTGGATACAGTGACTTCTGGTGGTTTTCCCAGACTGAGTTGGAATCTGGGGCATGTCAGGGCTTCTTCCCTGACCTTCATGGCAAACTGGATCTCTTCGGGGGCATACAGGCCCTGGGGCAGGTGCTGCAGGCGGCTGCGGCGGCGGTAGGGGTAGGTGAGAGTGTGGCTGCCTCCGCAGTGCCTGGACATGGTTGAGTAGGTGTAATCTGAAGAATCAGGCACCCTGGGATGCAGACAGCATGGGGTCATCCAGGCAGAAGTGGGTGACCAGGAATTGGCATAAACAGGGGACCTGGGGATGTGTGGGTGAACAGAGCAGCCTCATGGCTGCCACGTTGAGGACCACACACACACACACACACACACACACTCACGTGCATGCAGGCACCGTGTACATGTACACATATATACGGATGAGGCACCCGCTCACATGGCTGTGGGTGGGCATGTGGGAACCATGCTCAGGCAGCAGGGGCCCGCACGCCCCAGACCCTGTCCCTTACCGTTTGTAGCAGGGAGAACTGAGGCAGTGGGCCTGCAGCAGCTCACGGATCATCTGGCTGCTGGCCTTCACCGAGCCTCCGAAGTGAATCTGCACCTTTTCAATGTCCAGCAGCATCTTGGAGTGCATGGTGCGCAGGCGGCCCACGCTCCGCTCCACTGCTGACTGCTCACCCCGAGGGAAGGTGCTACCCAGCTTAAGGCTGTGGGTGCAGGGAGCAGAAAGGAAGGCCAGGGTCAGACAGAAGCCGAGGCACTCCACTTCCTCTCCTGGTGTAAGTGCTCCTTCTGGCTCCGGGCCCTCAGTCTTGGGACCCAGTGTGAGTAAAGCCAGCATGGGGAAGGTTAGAAGTCCTGGGCTGCAAGCTTAGGACTGGGGTCGCTGGGCAGCTCAGCACCAGGGCAAGAGTCCTTCCCAAGACACCCCTGATGGGCCAGACTTGCCAAGGAAGGTTTCTGAGGAGCCGAAGTGCAGGTAAGTCAAAGGGGGGTGAACACAGCTCCTCTGGCTACTGCAGGGGGTGGAGGTTCATGTCATCACACACCTGGCCCCATGCATTTGGGACCCCCAGGGTTCAAAGAGCCACCCTCTACTTGAGCATGGCTTTGGAGGCTGAGGGGACCAGAAGAGGTTGCAATCCAGAAGGAGCCTGAGGTGTGTCACCCCCAAGCTCACACATGGAACCCACCTCCCCTTCCAGGCCCAAGGTTGCCAAGAGAGCTGAAAGATGCCAGAGGAGGTGAAGAGCCCAGAAACTCCCTCAGGCAGCTAGGACCCTTGGTATTGCCCCCCTGGGTGCAGCGGGGACCAAAAGGGTAGGTTGTCACTCAGATGACTCGATGCTGTCACCCTAGGAAGAGCTGGGGGCTAATTCAAAAGTCAGTGGCCCTGAGCCTAACTAGGAGGCCCCCTGCATGCCTCCTAGGGTGCCCCCCTGGGGGTCACCATGCTCCAGCCTCCTGCCCACAGCTCTGCCCAAGATGCCACTATCCCTTACTTGCGTCTCTGCTGGCGGACCTGCTCCAGCTCATATACTGTGTAGGGGCGGATGGAACGGTGCCCAGGCAGGGCTTGACCCACAGGGGTTATAGGGATGATTCTGGGCAGAGACACAGAGAAGGGGCGGGTCAGAATGGGAGGATTGCTGTCACCTAGTTCCATCCCACCCATGACCAAACCGGGAGAGATGAGGGAGGAAGAGGCCAAAGGGAGGCAGGTGGGGATGCAGCAGGCAGGGCACAGGATCTCACTGTCCAGTCAGAGGAGTCTCCAGAGGACGGTCACAGGAAAGGCAGTGGAAGTGAGCCAAGAGCTGCCTGCAGGGATGGATGCACCGAGGTGAGGGGCTGGAAGTGTGGGCCACCTGGGTGGCAGATCCCAGCTCTGTGTGCTAGGATCTCTCCGGCTCCTAGACCTGAGCTGGCCAGGGATCACAGGGTCCCAAAGGGGCCCTGTGTGGGCCTTGGGTGCCCCCTGCTGGCCAACAATGGAAACCCCGGGCCTCGAGCCCACTACAGTCGGGGTTCCCAGGAGCTGCTGCCCCACCCTGTCCCAAAGGCGCAGAGAACCTTCTGTTCCCTGCCTGTCATCTGAAGGGGCCTGATCTACCAATGTTCTTCCAGCTCTCACCTCTGCCTTCCAATTGCAGCACGGTTCAGCGCAGCACCAGCTATGCGCTGCCCGAACTGCTCTAGGGAGGCCCCAAGCTTCTTCCTCCCCTCCCAGTGCAGTGTGTTAGCCCCTCTCTGCACCCCTACCCCACCCCGGATCCTCTGCTCTTCACCTCCGCATGGCGGCAGCCTCATCTGCCTGGTAGAGGGGAGAGCGCTCTTTGAGCTGCTCCCGAAGCGACTTCCATCGATCCTCCAGCGCCTGTTTTACTGGGTCCAGCTCCAGGCGGTCCAGCTGGGGGAGGGGGGGAACAGGTAAGCGCCAAGCAGCAGGAGGGCTCATCATGGTCTGCAGTGGAGACCCGTGGTCCCACCCAGGCTGCAGCCTCTCCTCCTCTCACCTTCATGTCCATCTCTGCCAGCAGCTTGTCCAGCAACTTCTGCCAGTCCTGCTCCTGCCCACTCATCTTGGCCATGAGTTCCCGCATCATGTGGTTCAACTGCTCCGTGGTGGCATCAAACTGGACCCGGCTCACTTTGGATGCCAAGGCGCTCTTGTCGGCTTTCTGCCCGGAGAAGCGGTGGGAAGGCCCAGCTGAGAGAGAGCCATGGCAGGGCCCCATTCCCCCAGGTATCAGCCCCTGCAGCCGAGCAGGTTTCCAGGAGCCTACATCGTCCCCACCCCTGGCTTCCTACCCCCTCCTGGCCGACCAGACCTCCAGGAAAGAGCGACTCCCAGCTGCCACTCACCACATTAATCTCCATCTGCAAGTGCTCCCTGTTGGCCTTTTCCTTCTCCAGTTTCTCCAGGCCCTGGTACAGCACCTGGGGGCCAAGCAAGCAGTGAATGAAGCACCTGCTGCTGAGCAGCAAGGCAGGTGTGGGCTGAGGCTCAGCCCACCCCACAGCTCACATCAATGTCTTTCTGCTTCTGGCGATGGTCCTCAATGAGGTTGCTGGTGGTGATATTGAGCTTCTCGCAGTCGCCCTGCACCTGCAGGATGGCGCTCTGCACACGGCCCAGCAGCTCCTCGTCCTGCCAAGGAAGGGACAGGAAAGGAAGACACTGCGAGGTGGCCGAGGTGACCACTAGGTGGCCCTCTAATGAGCTGTTTCTTAAAAACACTACCCAGACCTCTGCCTCAGTGGCATTCACAGTTTCCCATTAATAGCTGTATATGCCAATAGGATGAGTCCCACAAAAGCTGGAAATTGGTTAAATGTGTGAGAGCAGCACTAGGCCTCGGTGCCTAATGCAGTCAAGCTACCTCAGTCCTGAGAGAAGCATTCTGACTGGTTAATGTGAGCTCTTAGTCACTAGGCAACCTTGTATCATGTGATACTAACTTTGCAAAGGTATAAATAAAGGCCCCTACTGTGGTGCTGGGAGTCGGTTCACCAACCAGGCAGAAGGGCCACCACCTGACCCAGCTCTTGTCTTCTTGTCTATCTTTTCCTCATTCCTGCCGCTGTTTCTCCCCGGGGTATAACAGATCCACACAGAGAGACCAGCAGATCCTTACACTCACGTCCTATGGCCTGGCCTCAAGGGGCCTGGGGGTGATCAGCAGAGGTGTGATGCATGCATGGCCCCTGAGAGTTGAGGTGTAGGCTATAATCTCCACCTTCTCTGAGCCAGCTCTGAATTCCTGAGTCCAGCAGGCAGGACCCAAGGACTGTGACTGTCCCCACCACCAGCAGCAAGCCTGCCCTCTAGAGGAAATCAGGGAGGGGTTGGGAAGACTAGTGTGGGCAGGTGAGTCCCTGTCTCCTGCAACTGTTCCTGAGTTCATGTGTCACATGGCGTCATTCCACCCAGCCACTAGGCCAGCTCTTCCTATAGTTTCCTGCTGCCCCAGCTGGTTCTGCTGCTTAACTCACTATGACTCTGTGGAAGGACTGGGGACTTTGCTTTGTTTTGTTCTTTTTTTGAGACAAGATCTTACTATGTAGTTCAGGCTGGCCTTGAACTCACTTTATAGCACAGGTTGGCCTTGAACTCCTAGCAATCCTCCTGCATCAGCCTCCCACCACGCCCAGCAAGGGGACTTTGGGATCTGGCTGCAGGACTCCACAATAACAAACTGACCCTCAAGACCGAACACCCCTCCCTAGGGAGTGCAGTCAGCTACCATCTTCCCTGGTGACAGTGTCTGGCTGCCACAGGAGAGAGGGGAGTACAGGCCCACCTGGCTCTGAAGCTTGGCCTTCTTAGAGGGCCGGGAGGCAGCCAGGTTGTTGACCATTTCCTGCAGCTGCTCGTAGCGTTGCACCATCGTGCTGACCTGGTGGCTCAGGTCCAAGCTGCAAGCAGGGCAGGTAGCCTCAGGGTGAATCTGGCCAGGTGCTATGTTGGTCAGGGACTTGTGTGGGGTCATACTCAGGGACAGCAGTGTGGAGGAGGAGGCCAGCATATTCTCGATGATCGTCCTGAGCTTGTCCAACTGTGAGCAGGAAAGATACAGGGGCAGGGTTGTGGGTGGGTCCGCGCCAGCCCATAATCGCTCACAGGCTCTGCTCCAGCTCTGGGGATGTGAACGGTGGACTCGCACACACTCTGTCCCATCAAGCATGTGCACAGCCAGCAATCTGGCAAAGGGATCTGGTAAACACGAACAGCACTTCAGGGGTCTCCTCGGACCCTGAGGGGAGCTGCTCAGCCTGGTCAGCCTGCTCTGCTCTGCATGCTGCAGTCCCACCATGCTGCCGCTTGTGACTGGCCCTGGTTGCTGATTCAGTAGTGACTATGTGGACTGGCCAAGGAGCTACTGCCTGGCTTGGAAAGAGGAGGGCGGACAGTTGCAACTACTCATCTTAGTACTGGGTGCAGATGCTGAAAACCTTGGCACAGCCACCCAGGGGCACATGTGTGAGACGGGCAGGCAGACTGAGGGAGGCTGGCAGAGAGGTGCAGAGAGGTGGAAGGGGATGATGAAAAGAGGGACACAAAGATGCACAAAACCAGGCTGTGAGAAGACGGAGGGAGGGCTATAGTCTGGAGGTTCAGTAATCCTCAGTACTGTAAAGGAAAGAAAGGAGAAAGGAAGGGAGGGAGAGAGGGAGGGTGGAAGGAAGGAAGGAAGAAAAAAAGGAAGGAAGGAAAGTAACTGATACTTGCTAAAACATGGCTGGACCTTCAAAACAGTACAAAGTAAAAGAAGCCAAATATGAAAGGCCACATACTGCAAGATTTCATCTCCATCAAATAAACGTCCAGCAGAAACAGAGGGAGATGAATGGTTGGCAGGGGCTAGGGCTGGCCCGTTTGTTGGGGAAGGGTTGGAGGGAGAGTGACCGCTAAGAGGTACTATCCTTCTTTCCATGGTGATGGGACATCTTAGAATTGAACCGTGGTGATGTTATACAATGTCATGGATGCACTGCAAATGCCTTCATTTTTAAAAGGCCTATGATATGGAAGTTATATAATGGAACAGGCTTGGTGGGAGGTGCCCAGGCCTCACCCCTGCCTAGGGAATACCCTTGCCCTTGCCCTAATGGTCTCAGAGCCAGCTTGGCATCTGGAGGGCCTGAGTTTTAGTTGCAGTCACCCCCTCCCCCAGCATACACCCATGGGGGCTGGTCTCTGAGAAGAAACAGGGTCAGCCCGCTGCCCACAGCCATCCCACAGGGTCCTCACCTGATCCTGTAGGAACAAGGAGGCCTCAGCCACCGAATTCTCCATGGCGGCCTTGCCCTGTTCTTGGCTGTCCCTCAGTTCAGCCAGCTCCTTCTCAATGTCAGTCACGGTGACTCTGTGATGTATAAGAGACTGCTTGGCTCCACTGGCCACCCAGAAAGCCACGCCTGGTGGAGCAGACCCGTGGCCATGGGGGTTCAGGACAAGGGTGGAGCTCAGCACCCCTGTCTTGGGAGTCCTAGGACCTGCTCCTATCCTGAGGACACCCAAGGTACCCAGGGTACACTGAGTGGACCCAGTATGCTGCCCTGAGGCTGGTAGACAGTGGAACAGGGCCCTGCACAGCCGGGGCTCAAGCAGGCAGCTTTGTCCATCTCGTACTAGGGACAGTGTGAGGAGTATCTCATTCCTCTCAGTCCTGGGGCTGAGCGGCTTTAGGAGAATGTCTACCAGTTCCCTGAGAGACATGGGCAACTTGAAGAGCAAATACGATGCAGGTCAAAGGCAGAGGTCAGCTCAGGGCACAAAGGAACTGAAGGCTACCACCCGGCCTGAGAGGATGTCACCATCTGGCAGCTGGGCAGGGTGGGGTCACCTGAGGAGGCCTAGCTGCAGGCCTAGCTGGCCAGTCTTCAGATCTTTCCCCGGGACCTCACCATCGCCCTCCAGGAGCCTTTGCATCTTGTCCAGCTGCAAGCCCAATGGAAGAAGAGGCTCAGGCAGGTCCAAGTCCCCACTCTTTGAATGCAGCCCTGTGGCCCAAAGGAGGCCCTCTCCCATTCTCTAACCCTTACCCAACCTTCCCTGACAAGAACCCAGGTTCTTCTGAACATCCAGCCACTGGTCTCACAGATGCATTGAGAATAACAAAGATCTAGCCCTCCAACCCCAGAAAGTCCCGCACTGGAGGCAACTGAACTGTCTACCAACAGCTTTGGGTGTCTGCTTTTAGATCTAGGAAGTGGACATGATGATGCTTCCTAACTGCATCTCCTAGGGCACATTTCCTAACTGGCAGATGGCAAAGACCCAATGAGATGGCAGTGTGTGGCACAAGGCACCATCATCTATCCACGCGTGAATGGACAAGGCTCTGCTTCACCCTGCATGGCACAGGGTGCTGGCCCTCCCTTACGTACTTTTGCCTTTTCCTGGCGAACTTCTTTGGTCAAGGTCTTTAAGGTCTTCATTTGTTCTTCCAGGTCAGGAGGTAAAATCTTCTTGACTATGGAAAATGGGGTGCCTTATGGTCAAAAGGGTTAGAGTCTGAGCAGGCTCCTAATCTCCATTTGCAGCCCACACCAATGAAGTGACCCCAGAGAGCAGCAGGAACTATGACCTCATCCTGCTCTTCCCAGTGACTGGGACAAGAGGGGAGCGGAACTGTCTCTGTCTTTTGCCCACGAAAACCCACCTGCTGCTCAGTATCTTAAGGGGTCTTGTGTCCCCCGATCATTTCTCCCATCACTAAAATCTGATTTATTCTCAGGACCTAGAGTTGTGATGGGTGAATGTTTCACTTCCCAGTGTTCTTTCTCCCAAAGTTCGTTCAACAGCTCCGTTCCTGGCAGTTGCTCTGACAAAGGTAAAAGAATCTGCTCTGTTCCTCTCTTGAGGCTCTGTCAAACCCACTGGTTTAGTTCCGCCTTGCCTACCTATTGATGTGGACCCTGATAGCTAAGTGGGAACCCAGAGGGTCTAAGAATGGACATGCTATTCTCAGGGACCCAGCAGGGTGCCCAGCACCCAAGGATGGAAAGGGATCCCACTAACAGAACACAGACAGCGCTCTCCTCCTCAGAGGGCAGTACTCACCCAACATTGTGAACAGGTACTGTATCTTCTCCAAGTCAGTTTGGCCAGATTTCTCCTCATCCAGATCCTTCATCCTTTCCTTTAGTTCCACATAGAGGCCAATGAGCTCTCCCATCAGACGGAATGTTTCCAGGGCCATGGGAAAGTTTGGAGCCAGTCTCTCTACTGACTCACGTCGCTCACTCTGGGCCCCACTCCTGGATTCACTTCCTTCTGATGAGACTTGGGGAAAGTTAAGGGAGTCTCGACTCCTGAAAGAGGTGATATCTTGGCCTGTGTCACTCTGAGCAGGAAAGGCAGGAGTTCTGTTTGGATCCAAAGCTATCTGGCGATGTGGATCCACACCCATGTAGCCTGGGCCACCATAGTCTGCATACACTGGGCCCAACTGGTGCCTGGCTGGATATACATGACCAGGCTGAACTGCACCTGGGTATAGCTGTCCTTGCTGATCGGCATCAGGCTCTGTACCTAATGATGCTGGGCTCTGCTGATCTATGCCAGGACGCATCAAAGCTTCTTGACGGGTTTCTGGTGGTACTAAACCCTGTGTGTCTGTATGTGGTGAGGACACTCGACCATACTGTTCTTGGCCAGGAGGTACCATACCGTGCTGATATGGGTGAGGTGCTCTCAAGCTCCTAGAATCTGCCTGGAACGTTGGAAAGCTACGCAACCCTGTGCTTTGTATTATCAAGTCTTTTTGGTCTGCACTGGGCTGCCTCAAACCGTGCTGATCCATTCCAGATTGCACCAAACCATGTGGATATGTACCAGGTTGAACCAAACCATAAGGAGAGATACCAGATTGGAATAAATTAGGCTGATAAGCACGAGCCAACACCAAACCAGGTGGATATACACCAGATTGCACCAAACCAGGAGGATATGTACCAGGCTGAACCAAGCCACGAGGATCTGTCCCAGGCTGTAATAAAACATGCTGACCAGTTCCAGGTTGCACCATACCAAATTGACCTGTGCCAGGTCGTGCCAAACCATGCCAGTCAACACCAGGTTGCACCAAACCACCCTGATCTGCACCAGGCTGCACCAAACCACCCTGATCAGTGCTAGGTTGTGTCAAATCACCCTGATCAGTGCCAGGTTGCACCAGGCTACGTTGATCTGTAGCAGGCTGTGGTGAACCATGCTGATCCATTCCAGGTTGTACCATGCTAAACTGGCCTGCGCCAGGTTGTGCCAAACCATACTGAAATGTACCAGGCTGCGCCAAACCACGTTGACTGGTGCCAGGTTGCACTAATACAGGTTGACC